CGCCCGAGGCCGAGCGCTGCTCTCGCCACGCTGTCGCCTTGTTTACGCAAGCCAATGGCCCCAACGATCGCGAGACGCTCGTGGCGCAGTCAGCTTTGGCCGCGGCGATGGCCTCGCAACGCAAACCAAGGACCGAGTGGGCACCGTGCTTTGAAGCGACGCTATCCGCGCAGGCGGCGTTTTTTGGAGCGGCGCACGCGACCACGCTTCAGACCCGGCTGCGGTTTGCCACTGCGCTGGCCATCAACAACGACCCGAGCGGGTCCTTAGCCATCAATTTGGAGACATTGGACCTCGAGCGGCACGCGTACGGCCTCAACGACAAGCGCACGGTGGGCACGCTGCGCTCGATTGGCGCCAACTACCTTCAGCTACACCAGCTTCGCGTCGGCGCTCGGTACCTGCGACGTGCGCTGGCTTTCCACGAATCGCATTATGGAGACGACCACCCGATTACAATAGCGACGGCCGTACACCTTGTCGGGGTCCTGAACCACTCGGGCCACGCCAAGGAGGCGTTGCCGATGGTGGCGCGACTGGCCGCCTCGAACAAACGCATGTTTGGGCCCGGGCACACGAACACGATTCGCTTCAACCTTAACCTTGCCACGGCGGAGCTCATGGCCGGCAACATCCTTGAAGCCAAGACGCAGCTCATTGAGCTGGAAAGTGCCATGACGGCCATTTTACCGGTACCAAAACTGAGCTTCTGAATTCCATTCTAGTATATTGTAGTGCACGTGTACTTGGCCGTCGCCCACTGGGCGCAGTGCAACTACGACGAAGCGGCCAAGTACTTCGCGCGCGCCTTGGACGACATTCCGAGCAAGACAAGCGCGTGGCTTCTCTTCATGTTTGCCGCCGACGCCCCCCGGGTGCCTACTGTCAACGCGGCACTGCAGCGCGCCCGCAGCTATCTCGCATCGACGGACGACACGGCACCCGAGACGTGGCCCGTCACGTGCTTGGCGTGCTGCATGCCGATCGTCGGGCGCCGCGTCGTCTGTTCAGCGTGCCCCAACGGCCTCTACCGGTTCTGCACCGGGTGCGTCGATCGCCGGTACCGGCGTGTTCAGCAATTTTGCACCCACGACCCGAGTGCCACTGCGTTCAAGACGACGCTGCCGCCGAAGCGCTTCTTTTTCGAGGCAGATCTTGGCGCGTCCGACGCAGCCTACGACGAGGTAGATGGCCTCTACGGCGCATACGAGACGTACTGCGATACACACAGCGTTCCGCGCCACGAGCGACTGCTGCGGACGTCGGTTCCGATCTTGAACCGGAGTTGGCACCCGATGGTTTAAGCCACCACTGAGTACTTGGATATGCTTTCTATACATGCCAACATTGTGTATTTTTGCCTGAATAAGAGACCGGGATCGGTAGCAATAGAGAAGATAATGTCATGCTCGTGTACTTCACACCCAGTAGACTAGTTTGTGCGGGCCAAAGCGCCGCCTCGATGGGGTTGAACCCCACACCTCCTATTGGGTGGCTCAGAAATCGCTGTGGCAACTGCTCGACACAGTTGAGCCAAGTTCATTGGAGCCTCTGCGGCCAATCGCATTCGATAGGTCGAGATTGTCCTCTAAAGCAATGGACTGCATACCTTGACGTCGGAGCTGGCAATTGCAATTTTGGACAAACGCGATTTCCCGGTTTTGAAGAAATAGGCGCGACAACAACATGGTCATGCATGCAGCTAGAATGACTGCAGATGACAGAACATCAAATAGCTTTGTGCACGCAACGTCTTGGACAGCTTCCCAGGGACCGCAACCCAGCACACTTCAGTATGACTCTTCACATTGGTTTCAGGTTGCCTCAAAACCAGATGGCTCGTGTTCTGTCAACCCGTATGGTTCGATCATGCATTTTGTGGCGGACCTTGCGAGATGACGTCGCCAGACCGCGGTGTCCGCCTCTCGTACTTGCGCCACTTTATCAACGAGCATGGCGGCGAGTCCCGCTTTGTTGGCAAGACCACGGCCCAAGTTTGCTTTGAGTTTGTCGTGCCATTGACCAAACC